AGATCACAAAAAGCTATGGAATGCACTCAAAGACATGGGGGTGCCACTGATAGTCCTAATGATGCCACCATCAGAACAGAATTCTTGAAATAGAGTGGTTCCCAATAGGCAAAGGGGTCAGGCAAGGCTGCATCCTATCACCCTACTTGTTTAACTTATATGCTGAGAACATCATAAGAAAAGTAGAATTAGAATCAGAAAAAGGAGGAGTTAAGATAGGAGGTAACAAGATTAACAACCTAAGCTTAAGATATGTGGACAAGACCATATTATTAGCAGAAGACATTCAGGAATTGGAACATTTAATAAGGAAGATCAAAGATGAAAGTGCAAAGGCAGGTCTGATGCTGAACATAAAGAAAACAAAAATAATGATCACAGAAGAAATACACAAATTCAATCTAGACTATGAGGAAATTGAATTGTTAAAGAATTCCCATGTCTAGGATCAAATATTGACCAGAATGGAGACTGCAGTCAAGAAATAAGAAGAAGACTAGGAATAGGAAGGGCAGCTATGAAAAAACTGGGAAAAATACTGAAGAGCAAAGACATACAACTGAGCACTAAAGTCAGAATCATCCAGGCCATTGTATTCCAATTACCATGTATGGATGTGAGAGCCAGACATTGAAGGAAGCAGACAGAAAGAAAACCAACTCATTTGAAATGTGGTGCTGAAGAAGAGTACTTAGGATACCATGGACAGCCAAGAAGACAAACAAATGGGTTCTTGAACAGATCAGATCAGAGCTATCCTTGGAAACAAAGATAGTAAAGTTGAGACTATCGTACTTTGACCACACAATGAGAAGGCACAGCTCACTAGAAAAAACAATATTGCTAGGAAAGGTAGAAGTCAGAGGAAAGAGAGGAAGACTGCAAACCAGATGGATAGACTCCATCAGGGGGGTTATGGGCAAGGGCCTTTCAGGATCTGAGCAAGGCAGTGGAAGATAGGGATTCTTGGAGATGTCTCATCCACAGGGTCACCATGAGTCAGAACTAACTTGGGGGCAGCTGACAACAGCAACAAGAATAATATATCAAGGATTAGGATATAAGGCATTCTGGAAATCATCAGAGGGATATTGTCAAGGAAAGTTTAGTCTTCTCTTTTCAAAATGATAACAATCTTTGTATTAAAGACTTAGGTTGTATCTATGTGTTAAAGTTACTATCCACAGCCACATAATGTAATGTAACATATAAAAGGTAAAGGTATTCCCCATTGACAAGATTGTCAAGTTATGTCCAACCATAGGGAGCAGTGCTCATCTCCGTTACTAAGCCAAAGAGCCAGCATTGTCAGAGACTACTCCGTGATCATGTGGCCAGCATGATTGCTCAGAATGCTGTTTGTATGTAACATATACTTAGAGAAAATAAATCCAGTTCTACTATGCTACGTAGTCAGTTTCAAGGAATGTACATAATTTGGATTTATTTAGTGTAACAGAGAAATTCATGATTAATCCTACTTCTGATTGCTAGTTCCAGCAAGAGTAGATACATATAAGTCTACAGTGTTGTTGTTGTTGTTGTTGTTGTTGTTGTTGTGTGCCTTCAAGTCATTTTTAATTTATGGTATCCCTATGGTAAACTTATCCTTATGGTTTTCTTGGTAAGATGTATTTAGATGATGTTTGTCTTTGGCTGAGGCTGAGAGAGTATGACTTGCCCAAGGTCACCCAGTGGGTTTCCATGGCTGAGCAGGGATTTGAACCATGGTCTCTAAAGTCATAGTCCAGTGTACAAACCACTGCACTGTGCTGGGTCTCAACAGTTATGTAAGTCCCATTAATTCAGTGGGTCTACTCTAATTGGGACCAACAAATTTAGGCTAATTAATGCAAGTATACTGAAATGTTTTAATTCCTCAAAATTATGAACTTTATTTCAGTACTTTTTTTTCTTTTAATGTAAGATCAAATAGAGTATATGAAAGGAAAAATGGCAGTTGTCTGTATGAAACAAAATAGAACAACAAAATAATGGTTGCTAAATTGTCACTGAAAGATAATGGAGGGATCTGGAGAGGAAGAGAAATGTTGTTAGTTTATTAAGACAGTAAGGAATGCTACCCATTAAAATATTCTGTGGTGGGGCAATGAGCCCCACAAAAGGAAGAACTGGGATTATAAAGGCTGCTGCTTTATTAATGAAGGTCTATGTATCATGCTAACAAACGTGTTCTACATAAACTAGACTAATATATGCCTAGCTCTCATTGATATGGGAAGTCTTTCTCTACAGATTACAGTTTTGAACTGCAGGTGAGACCTCACGTAACTGAGCACTTTGCCTTACCACCAAAACACTGCTTCTCATAATATCACTCCAAATTCTACCAAACCACCTAAAATATAAGTATGGCATTGTGAATAGTTCTAACCCAGATTTCTATGCTTCTAGCTATCTATTTCACCTTGACTTTACAAAACAAAGTCATTCAGCAATAATAAAACAAACATTAGAGAAAAAATTCAATACAGTCATCCCTCCGGATTCGCTGACTTCCTGTTTGCAGTTTTGAATTTCCGCGGACAGGAAGCCAGGAGGGACTGCACAGGGCTGTGCATGGGCCTGCATGCCCATTAAAAACAATGGGGCTCCAATATTTGCAGTTTTTTTTCTTATTCACGGGGGTGGGGTGGGGGGTGGAAAGGATCCCCCACAAATCGGAAGGGACGACTGTAATTCAGAACTTATTAAAAGGTGGAAGAGGCAACAAGGGAGTCACCTATTTTGGATCTGATCC